GGATTGTCGAATTGGCTAGGATTGATCATCTTGTTGAAAGGCCGTAATCGAATTTTCTTTTAGCTCTTGAAAAATAAATTAGAAAGAATGACAAGTCAATGTCCAGCAATACGACAAAGAGAGTCATTTGGAGTGAAGTGAAAACAATCGGTCAAAACTTCTCAGAATCAACGTATAACTTGCGCAATTATATCAAAAAGTTTGAGAAATGGACGTAGGGCTGTTAGTAACCGACTTGAAACAGCTTTCGGGCTGATAAATGCCAGGGTCAGATATCGTTGACCTCCCCTTATGAAGTTCGGACCGGCACCTCGTCGGTTCGTTAATAATTTCTGAAGGGTCGATTCGAAGAAATGACCTTTGTAGTTTCCAAAGCACGCAACTCGAAGCTTCCTAGGAATCTTAAATCAAAAGCATTATATGCATAAAAAAGAAGGTATTATTAAGAAAAGTAGAAATCTTAATTATTTTTCCAAATAACAAAGGCTGTAAAGATGATAAGGTATTTGAATTGGGGTAACCGTCAAAATCTGTTCGATCTCTTCAAAAAACACTCTTTACAGTATCAAGTTGGCTAACTTTATTACACAATTCCATGTAATTTTATTTAAATTATTTCACATTTTACATGGATTTATTTCGGATGATTACGTTTTTGTGCTTACTCTTAATTTCTTGCAGTAATTTTTTTTTTAGTAATTAATTTATGCTATTTTGTTTTATTATTTTTATTGTTTTATTGAAGGTAAATATAACGTAAGAAGGGTGATTTAAAAAAATATTATTTGGATGCGTAGAAATATTTATAAGTTTGTGCGTATAGGAGGATTTCTTAAAAGTGTTTTTTCACCCTATTTTTCTCCAATATTTTGCATGTCTCACTTTTATGCTGTAATTTTTATTAGTTATATCTCATGCTAATTTATGTTAAAATACGTAAATAATGCTGCCATATCTCAAGGAATTAACGTTACTTAGAATTACGAAAGAAAAGGCCTGATCGTCGATGCCACTCGCGTGTGGCAATGATAACGCGTTTGTATATGTATATATTTTTAAAACGTGCTCCGCCAAAAGCGGGTGAAGCCCTTCTTCGGGGTTGCATGTTATGTCGCACGTCATGTGGAAATGTAGGTAAGGGATTCCGTAGAAGTTTGCTTGACCGGCCAATGTTTGGATGAAGGAGTAGCCAAGACAACAAGGTGAGTGACCACACGGCCGTACCTCTTTAGTCATACCTCGACCCATTTTCTCCTGGGTCGACAAATGGGGGGAGAGAAGGAGAGCTATACATCAACCCATTATGGGGGGGTTAACTTAGTTTCCACGAAAGTCGACAATCATAATATGGAAATTTGCAATTTCAACACAGTGGCCTAATTCATGTACTAAAACCACAAAAAATATTCGATCATTAAATCGTTTTTTGTTGTTTGCTTTAAGGGAACCAAATCTAATATTACATTAACCTTTACAAAAAAGAGTAGATACATCATTTAGGATTGCCGTACTATTTTTTTAATGAGAGATAAACAGATAGAGAAAGATGAGGGGAGGGGAGGGGAGAGAAAGATAGAGAGTGAGAGAGATAGAGAGGGAGAGTGAGAGAGAGAGAGAGAAGAGTGAGACAGAGAGAGAGAAGAAGGAGAGTGAGAGAAAGGGAATGAGAAAGATAGAGGACGGCGGCAAGTTCATTTGTACAGAAACAACTGCCAGTCTTGAAGGTTTAGCATAATGACTCAGCCGTGAATAAGTAAATAAATCAATGCTTTCTTTAAATGTGGCACTTTTTCAGCGAGGCTGGTGAGATAGCAAAAAGGTGAGAGAGAGATGGCAAGAAAAGAAGAAAATATTATTATTTCAGAAATAGGGGTGATAGGTATCAAAGTAAGAGATAAAAAGGATAGAGTATAGAAGTGGTGAGACATGGAGGGAAAGAAAGAAAGAGAAAAAGAGAAAGAAAGAGTGAGTGAGGGCGAGAGATAGAGCGAGCGAGCGAGCGAGAGAAAGAGAGAGAGAGAGAGAGAGAGAGAGAGAGAAACACACCAAATTTGTAAATTATTTACATCTAAACTATTATTGTACTCTCTTTCATTTATTTACTGCACACAGTGGAAATTCGTGTTGTTAACGTTTATTAACATTTTTATAAAAATTCGTTTTCTTAACATTTTATAACATTTTCAAAAGTTTTGTCTTGGACAATCATTAGAAAGATTTTTATTACTGAAATTCATATTTTTCTACATAGCATCACCTACACAAAACAAATTTTGATAGTGCCTCTAAAGATCTTAAAAGTGATAGTTAAAAAGAAAGGCGAAAAAACAAACATGCTGAATTAGCTGAACTTGAAAAAAAAATAGGTTCATAGCGGCAAAAATGTAAGATATATACAAGAAAATATAGTAAAATTCAACCCCTGAATGTTAATACTTCGAGGTTTAGAACAGATTAATAAAAAACAGATAGTTTCTGATAAGATTTAGAACAGAAATTCACGCCAAATGACCTCTTTGAACTGCAATTCAAAAATACCCTGGAGGTGGCAATTAAAAAGCGCTTGAAATTCATGCGTTATTATTCTGACCCAAATCAAAAAAGCACTTTGATCAGATTTTATAGTACACAAACTTCTTGTTCTTTTAACGCAATTTGGCGAGTGTCTTATTTTCCTAAACAATGGTTTCACGGCGTTGTTAGATTCCAAAACCAAAAGGATAATTTAGGGAACTACAGGCCAATAAGTATTCTCTCGACTTTCTCAAAAACTTATTAAAGACTTTTGCTCCCACAACTGCTTCCATATCTTGGACTTATATTCTAGAAACTCAGTTTGCCTTCGGACGTCAGCATTCTTGTTCACAGAAACTGCACCGTATTACCGATAATATTCTTGACACTTTTGAGAATAAACAAATCTGTCTAGAGGTTTTTTTAGATATAGAAAAGGCCCTTGATAAGGTCTGGCATGATAGTCTTATGTACAAAATGAACCTTACTCCCGGACACTTAGTTCAAAGTTATCAAATCTGCATACCCTAACCACCATAATATAAAAGTGAGAGTTCCACATTGAGCATTTAAACATTGATCAATAAACTGTCTTGCTGTCTCCTTGCAACTTGAATATATAAATTTAAGAATGGTGTAAAATGTCGAGGATAATCATGAATGCTGAGAAGTCAAAACTGGTCATTTTCACCTACTTAAAAGATGTACTACCGTACATGATATCAAGGTCTACCCTGGACAGTAAACCCACTTCGCTCACGTGACGACATAACTAAACGCGCCAGACACCGTATCTTATGCTTAAAACCCATAATGGACCCCACTTCAATATTGCCATTACATCTTAAGTGACTCTTACACTTGGCTCTAATCCGGCCGATATGGCAATACAGCTGTGGAACGCTGGCGAACCCCATATAAAAAGAGTGCAGACCAACCAAAACAGAGTTTTACGACTAGCAAACAGGAAGAAGTTAGTCTGGAGTCCTACTAATGACTTGGAAACCCCGGAAGTTGATTACATCATAAAGGCAAGCTGGACACTTCTTCACGTCTCATTGGTACATTAATTCAACTTTCCAGCACATATCAAATAATCCTCCACCACCAAAGAATGAAAGAAGCTTAAAAAGAAAGAGAAATAGTATTCTAAATATAAACTAGAAACCTTACCATTTTTATATTGAATAGGTAACATAATATTATTAAGGGATGTTAAATCTTGTATCTGTACTATTTTTGAGCTCTTAATATAATTGATTTATTTATTGTTTATTATTTTGTTGGTCTATTTACTGTTTACAAAAATAAAGCACACCTGTGGTATTTTATGGTGCACTTTTCGTGGTCCGTTTGACCAATTAAGATCATTCAATTAATTAAGGTTTTTAGTTGAGATAAAAAAGTCAGTGTCACGAGCGGGATTCGAAACCACGACCTTCGGCTTGAAACGCCGCTACTCTACCACTTCAGCTATCGTGACTTCGATCCTCTTGGGCACCGACTTCCCATCTCAACCCCACGGTGAATCAAGCCGAAAGTCGTGGGTTCGAATCCCGCTCGTGACACTGACTTTTTTATATCAATTAAAAACCTTAATTAATTGAATTTATAAATAAGGTTATTTTAAGATATGATGTTCGTTGTTCGACCTGCAGATAATCTATGTAGGGTTCCAATCTTTGTAGAAGTCATTAGACGGGTGAAAAATTTAATCCTTTGTACTTAGTTTATGTTAATAGTTGTAATTTTGTTTTAAATATATAAAAAAAGCAATTTTTGTGATCACAAAAGTACCTGAAAGAAAGTGCTAGTCAGACAAAATAATAGTTGGACCTTTAGTCATATGGACTTTTAGCAAAGTATTGTTTGACTTTACTATAAATTATTGTTTTCAATGTCAAATGTTATGCGTTTGTAATTACTTATAATTTTATGTAGATGTCTGTTTCACCGTCAGCATTTAGTATGCTGGCCATGTGCTCCATAACCTTAAACCCAAAACACTTGTACAATAGTTTTTCATATTAATCGTTTCTTCACCCTTGGGAAAGTACCTACACCATTTTATTACATTAATGTTTCTTTGTATTTATTTGAATTGATAATAAAATAGGCCCTGATGATGGCATTATAAAGTGCAGAAAGATAGGTGAATACAGCATTTAGACTTTTTTTCACCCGTCTAATGACCTCTTAGATTTCTGTGAAGAACATGGTGAATGTGATACCTCACTACAAGTATCATGTTATTTTTGATCGATTACTTCTTTGTTCTATTATAAGTGTTTTGTTTATGTACAAAAAGTTATCGTAAATATTGTAATATATAAAAATATATTTTGATGATATCTGCGAATTGATGATATAGTTCTGTATACTCTCGCTATCATTTATGGTTTATTTGTGCAGACTAAAGTAATCAATACTGACATTTCAATACTATAGAAAAAATCTGTATTATAGTTTTGGAATTTCTTTTCTAGATCGTAAAGAATGGGATCATGGTTAGTTGTGGTGGCCTGTCTTTTTGGCTTGGCCGCCTCAAACTATCCCGTTTTCGATGTCAACACCCAGATGCAGCTTCTTCTCGTACCGGCGGACGCGAGAATCGGCTCGGTCATCTACAGGCTCAGGGCAACGGATTCAGACAGAGATTACCCCTTGATGTTCGCAGCTACAGGTGAGTCTGAGTTATTCGAGATGGATTTTAGTTTTTAAATACGTCTTCGGATTGCAGATTATGGTTCGTACGTCATTAAAATCGACAATCTACCGTGTCAGAAGAATTCTTCATTCTGCGAGGCGAACGTGTTCCTCGAAAGGACTCTCATCCCCGGTCAACTCTTTAAATTTCGCGTTACCGTTCGGGACACGAAAGGAGACACGACCACTCTTCCAGTTTCAATCAAAGTCACTAACGGAATAACCGATTTCAACGAAGTCTTCCCTCACGTACCGGGCGTCGTCATGATACCAGAGGTGATATTACAAAAAAAAAAAAAAAAAAAAAACCTACGCCATATAAATTCATCAATTTCTTGTTTCTATTAGAGCACAAAAGTTGGGACTGAATTAGAATACGTGATTGTCAAAAAGAATCCAAGATCCGTTAGAAAAGCGAACCTCGAGTTGTGGGTTTGTACAATTTTTAGTATAATTCTTCAAAAATGTATTATATAATAGAAAATAACTTTTTGAAACAGGGATCTCCTGAATTCAAGTTCGTACAGAGTTCTAAAAAGGACACGACAACTGGTATCATCACTCTTGCTGCACCTTTGGACTACGAGACGAAAACAATGTACAGATTGTCCGTCTTTGCCACGGTGAGTAGAAATATTATTTTGTCAAAAAAAAAAAAACTGTAAAGTAGTTAAGAGATATTTATAAGTTATTCAATTTTGTTTATAGGGTATGTGGGTCGATTTAGCGACGGATACGAGGAACATAGCCGGTTTTCAGCTCGTGATTGTAGTCTCCGACGTCCAGGACACCCCTCCGGTTTTCGACCACATCGAACCGATAACCAAACTCAATCCGAACCTAACTGAGGTCGGTTAAATTACGTTTTTATACTAAGATTTTTTTGCTAATATATGCTGTTTATACAGGGCGAGGTGGTTCTGAGAGTCACGGCAAGGGATGGAGATAAGGGCTCCCCCAGGCCGATAAAATACGGGCTCGTGTCCGAGGGAAACCCCTTCACCGTATTTTTCGACATCGATCAAGACACAGGTCAGTGAACTATAATTGTTTATTTATAATCTGGGTCAATATAAATTCTAAAATTATACTGGTTACATGAACGGGTGGAAGAAGTTTGATTTATGACCAGAATTCTTAGGCTATTCTTGTAGCTTTTTGTCTCCGATCATGCTGGTCAGCGCGTTCTCGTTGGTTTTTATTTCGTACTGTTTATAGACTAGTCTGATCATATTAAAACCAAAAACTATACGTTTATGATTTTGCTGACGTAAACAAACAACAACCACACTTATTTTTCCTATGTCTCGAATTTCACGAAACAGGATAAAATATTCTTTCTGTTACAATTCTCTGTAATATTAAGTAAATATAATAGTTTACAAGTGAAAATCTATTCTAGTTTTTTCTATATCCGAATATAATCAAACTTCCTATAAATGGACACCACTTAGGAATGTAATTTTGGCTGTTTAAGAGAAGTGTCCGCTTATTAGAAATGTCCGTTTATTAAGTGTTCGCTTATCAGAAGTGCCCACATATAAACTCCAACTTGAGCCCTGTGGTAGTTCCGCTACCACAGGGCAGCGTGCTTGGACCAATCATTTACCTTCTGTACACCGCAGCTATCTCGATTTTACTATCTACTTTTCCCACATTCTTTGCCGGCGAAACAGCTTTACTATCTTCTGATCCTGAGCCTGCAATTTTTGGAGAGGGGTCCAGGCACATGTCCTACGAATCCCTTTGACCAATCTTTCTCAAATAAAAATAAATTGTAAAAAGCACCCTTATTACATTTAATTAAAAAAAACTTTTAATAGAACATTCAGACCATCCTTAAAACTGATTGCTTTCTCTTCTGACTGAAACTATTTGAGTTAAACTGATGCTTCGGTGTATTGTTCAAAATGTCGACAAAAAAACAAACAGGCAATCTACAAAACAAAACTAAATCCAATTTGAATGTACGGATTAGAACTGTGCCTCATTTCGACCTATATACACCTTTCGACCTAATACCTTTCGACATATATACAGTTAGTATACAGTTCTTTCAATCCGAAATCCTCAGAACCATAGCTCATGCTACCTACTACCTCTGCAACAAGACCCTAACAATGACCTCTCAATTCATTTTCTACAAAAAACGATCTACATTAAATTCATCAACCGATTAACCGATGACAGCTAATAACATGAAGATTGCAAAACACGTAACTGTAATTAAATAAATAATTGAATTTGAAAGAAAAGGCAGACAACATAGGACCAAGATTTGTTAATTTTTTGTGGTCAGCACAAATTTAGTTGATGCTTTCTTTTGTTTTGTGTCATTCAGGATTTTATCTTTTCATTCAGGAAGCTATTTGCTATAAAACAATATGTTACGTACTGATACTTTCTTACATACCCTTCTGCCCTATGATGCCAGGCGTACTGACCACTAGCCTTCTTTCTCCACTGCCCCGCTCCTATCTGTTGAAGGACCTCCTATTTTCTTATCATTCTCCACAACTGGCACAAAAATCACCATCAGAATTTTTCTCTGTCAGGAACAATTCTGGTCCAATACAACACCACCGGTCTGATGACCGTCTTTTGTCTGGCGATCTTTACATCTCTGGATATCCTTCTATTCCAAAAGGGACAGCGCAAAGCTGAAAATCACCTATTTCTTGTCGCAATTTATCGTCGCAACACCTATTTATTGTCTTCTAAAAGACGTTTTCTTAAAAGTTCCATTTCCTGGTCTAGGCTAGATTAGGTTCAATTGCCTACAAAACCTGTCGTAGTGTGTTAGAGCTTTAGTCTTTTTCTTCAGTTGGCTTTATTTATTTGAAGTACTTGGTATATTTTGAATTGACCGAAACTTGAAAATGGTTGGTGATGCGCTGGTCCGTATACTCCCTGTTCTGTTCAACTCACTGTAGATTTTCTGAAACGAGTTTGAGAGGCATCTAAACCAACGAAGGTGTTACTGATCCAGGAAATGATCGAGTGCCGTCAGTTAAGCACCACCAACATCAGACAACTGGATGGTATAGATTTACCATAATTGAAACCCTTGACGTTGATCTGTTGAAACTCGCGTTTCTGCAGAATGTTTTACATATAAAACTTTTGTCAATATTTCAAATATTTTCTTCAATTTCATTTGAAACTGTAGGTGATATTCGTCTGGTAAGGCCGTTGAAAGAGCTGACATCCATATCCCGATCTCACCAGCCGATTTTGCTGACCGTTATTGCCGAAGAACAAGTCGTAGGCGGCAAAGACCACTTGACCGATATATCATCCACTGCAACCGTTGCTCTTCTTCTCGGCCAGTTAGGAAATACTCCTCCTTATTTCGCGAGCCACAAGTAAGAAATTTTAAATTATTAATAAAAAGATAAAACATAATAAATAACGGGATTGCAGTTATGTCACCCACGTAGCAGAAAACAGCATACAAGGAACTGCTCTTGTTTTCAACGATCCTTACATCACCGAGGTCAAAGACAATGATATGGTTAGTAAACATTTCTTAATAATCATGTAGTGTTTAGTAATTAGATGTTTATTTAGGGGAAACACGGCGTCTTTTCCTTGACATTAGAAAACAACAACGGGACATTCGAAATAACGCCCAATGTCGGAGAGAGGCAGGCATCTTTTATCATAAGAGTCAGGGATAACACCTTGCTGGACTATGAAGTCAACAAAGAACTCAGTTTTAAAGTAAGTTTAGTGTCCTAACAGTTTTAACATTTTGTACTTTTGTGCCTTGTACATTGCTATAATAAATTAATTTAAAATAAAAATGCCAATCGGCGTTAAAGACATGAGAAAATATCCTTTACAGATTTGGGCCAAAGAATTGAGTCCAGATCAAAAGCCGCTTTCGACATCCGTTAATGTTGTCGTTTATGTAATGGACGTCAACGACAACCCTCCAATCTTCTCCCAGAGTAACTATTCGAGCCAAGTTGCTGAAAATGCCACTGCAGGTTTGCTTATTTCAGCAAAGTTTTCAAACTGTGGTTGTTGTTTTAACAATTTATTTTTCAGTTACTCAATTGGCCAAGTTTGAAGCCACAGACGTTGACACAGGTGATGGCGGGATCATCAAATACACAGCAGTGTTGGGTATGAAAAATACATCGCTCTCCCTTCACCCGGACACGGGCGTTTTGAAAATCGCAACCGACACCCATGGATTTGACAGAGAAGAATCCAGCAGTAAGCTACTATTTTTTTTATTGAAGATGATGGTCTGCGTGTCGGTGAACATATGGTGAACCATTCAATTTAGTGTCTGAGTGCCAGTTCACCATTTTTTTGCTAATACCTTTAGTATACATTTTTATCTATAAATTTCAACCTATTGATTATATCATCTTGTTTTCCATGAATTTTCTTGAAGGTGGTATAATGATTGCAGCTGGATTTTCATTTACAATTGTATGACATTTTGTTCTTCTTTAAGCAAAATCTGACACCTTAAGGAGCAATATTTTTCTATTTCAATTGGGATCTTGGGTAATTGTGGCACATGTGTGGGTAAATTCTTTGTATTAACTGTAAAGGTTTTCATTGTTGATCATATCGAGGGTTCTCATCTTATGTTACATGTCTAAATACACTGACAGGCAAAAAAATCCGCACACTTGTAATATAACTTGATTTGTTAATATATTTTTATATATTAATCAAAGTTTCACGTTTTTAACGTTTAGTAATTGAGTGTTTCTCTAAAACGGTAAAAAAGTAAATTGCTGAGGAAAATGAAAAATAAAAAAAAAATTAAAAAAATTGTTTTAATTTTGTTTTTGATTTTTAATTAATATTTCAATATGTGTATTTCCTTAATCTCGAAGACGCCTCGGTATACTTTTTACCAGTCTGGAAATGTCTCTTTGCTGGAGGTTAGCCCATTCTTCTTTTTAGAACGTGGAGTGTATCAGGAAGTGATGGACGTCTCTTATTCGTCTTTTGAGGTTATCCCATAAATATTCGATGGGGTCCAAGTCTGAAGAAAACGGGCTGGACAGGCTAAGACTGCTGTTGGAGGTACGTTTGTACTATGGGAGCGACATATGGACGGACATTATCGTGGATTAGAATAGCATTAGGATAGGATGATTTCATCGAGGATAGGTAACACATGATGTTCCAAAATTTCATCCACGTAGCGAGTGGCCGTCAAAGAGGAACAACATCCAACTCTGTACGACTCTCCATTGTCACCATCACTGAGCTAAGTTGGCACTGGGAAAAATTACAGGCTTCGTATCTTTCGTTTCGCCTTCTCCACACTATTTTCCGCCCATCTGGAGATCGTAGAGCAAATCTGCACTCATCCGTAAAAAGTACAGCAGACCAATTGTCCAAAGACCAATGGCAGGGTGCGAGCTGTGCAACTCCGTGTATTCTGGTCAATTGTGGTCCTCTTACGTGGCGAAAAGCCATCAGTCATTAGTGATTTAATCTTCTTCGAGCAGTGGGTTTAGAAATTTGGAAGCCTCGAACTTCCTGGAGCTGATCAATCGCTTGAATGACAGTAAGGTGCCGGTTTCGCAGAATACTCAAAGTAAAAAAACGGTCATTCTGTGGTTCTGTTACCCTAGGGCGTCCAGAACCGGGCCTCCTATGGGAGGACCCAGTTTCTCGAAAACGACTAATGGTGTCTGGCAGAGTTTCGTATGGAAATCCGATAGCTTTCGGAAATCCATCGCATACCTGATGGAACGTCCATCATCAATAAGTGCCAAATCACGCGCAACATCCTCAGCAGAAGTGGCACTTTTCAGTTTAAAAGTTGAAATTAAGAAAACAAAGATTAAAAGTAAACAGTTTATCGTTTCAGAATTCAAATGAGACTGAATAACATTTTAAATTCCGTAAAAATTAAACATTGAAAAATCATTTATTCTTGTTTTGGATTAAGGATTAAGTGTGGTTACATCTAACTGAAATTCTCAATTTAAAGCATACATAAACAAATATCTATTGATAAAAACAATGAGACAAATTAAGGGCAGTATTTTCTTTTATCGAGAAAATTAAAAAAATCAGTTGGATGGAATTTTTTGCCTGTCAGTGTATTATAGTTTGGTCATTTCCAATAATTTTGGTATTCCTATCTGCAAGGCGTTTGGAACAACCCAACCTAAATAGCAAATATATGGAAATCAAAATGATCTGAAACAATTACACTAAAGGTTCATCAGACCTCATGATGAAATTTCACAACTCCTAAAGTTTTCTGATGTTTTAAGGTTACCATTTTTAGTTACTTGACACTCTGCTTTTGCTAACGTCTTATTCAAGTAATAATTATGCATTTAGTTTAAATTTCAATATTATCCATTTCTCGATTATAGGTTATCAATTTTTCATCGAAGCCAAAGATATGAAAGGATCTGGAAACAGAGCGACCGTCCCGTTCACTTTGTACATTCTCGACGTCAACGATGAAACCCCGACGTTTGAAAAATCCCCTATAGAATTTATTTTAGGTCCGGGGGGTACTAATTTTTCACAGAGAGCATTTATCAAGGTAAGGCGAAAGTCAAATTTTACCCATGAAATTTGGTCACGGGTCCATTTTGCAGGCGACAGACGCTGACGCAGAATCGCCCAACAATATCGTCAGGTACGAAATCGTCAGTGGGAATTACGACAGCAGGTTCATACTAATTGCAGAAACCGGCGAACTCCTCGTCAACCCTAGGGTCAGGGTCTCGAGGCAGACGAAAGATTCTGTTTCCGATCTCCTCGTCCGTGCTTACGACTTAGGTGAGTTTTATAATTTTATGAATAAGGGTGAATTTAAGGGTGAATCGAATGTAAAGGTGTACCGACGAGATGGTCGACGGCTCAACTCAGGATTTTCCCGGCGGAATCTAACGCGAGAGTGATGCGTTTTTTGGTGCCAGGACGTAACCCCGATCGACGAGCCGTGCAGCAGCTTTTGTCAGACTTGACCGGTGCCAGGGTTGTAATACATTCAATCGAACCCTATAACCAGCCTTACTACCCGGGACAAACCACAGACTTAACCTCAGGAGGCATCAACGGTGAAAGGTGATTAAAACTGACTTTAAATGAAACTTTTCCTAATAATTTTATTTTCAGGAGTGTCGTAACAGCAACTGTGCTGTATAACAACAACGCTGTAATCGATCTGGACAGTCTCCAGAAGAAGCTGAACAACAATCGGACCGCCCAGTTGCTAACAGACGAAGTGGTACGAGCTTTAAATCCAATTAGACACAGTTCAAACAAAATAAATTGGTAACATATTTCTAGACGGTGTACAGAAGCGAAACAAGGACATTATTTTGGATACTGATGATCCTTCTGATTCTTATAGCTTTGGCTTTACTCACTCTTTTGCTCTGCTGTTGTTGCGAGTGCTGCCCTTTTTACGCGTTCTTCAACAGGTAATTTGTTGAACTACCTTCTGTAAGATTAGAAAAATTTTCATTTTTATATGGTTTTTAAGACTAGTGAGAAGGAAAAGCGCAGTACAGGCAGTAAATACGGTAACTTATACGGAAAAAGAGAAGGAAAACAAATCTGTTCAAGGTATTGTGAAAATCTATATAAAAATTTATATCTATATTTTATGTTCAATTCATAATTGCATGCATTACGTTTTTAATTATACAATGCAATTTATTGCTACAATATTAGTACACTTGATCAATAGCAACATAGTACTAAAGGGGTAAATATAATTTATCTATTGTCATAAATATAGCTATTAGATGGATCCTAAAAGTTATTCCTAATAATGAAACCAGTTTTAATCATGTTTTTATGATCGATGGAATAAGGAACGATTTTTTATGAGTTTTCCTATAAAACTACACTTTTTTTTGTAGCTGAGTGGATTCAAAATGGAAGGAAAGAAGCGTGGAGTGCTGATCAGCCAAGAAGAAACTGGCACTTTAACCGTAGAAATAGCGGCAATAAAATTTTATTGATGGCAGAAAGACAACCGCCGCCTAATATAATATATACGAGAGAGGTTAAAAGATTTTATGATTTAACAGTTTGTCAATAAGTATTTAATATTTGATTTGATTTTAGGTTGGTGAGGTTCAGAGGCACAACAACGATCTTTTTGTCGAAGATGTCGACGGGACCGAATATAGGATCTTGGATGCTTCAAAATTAGCGATCCACCCACACCATATTCAGAATAATTTGCAGGTGCCGCTTAGACAGGAGATCCCGAGGCAAGGGGTGGAAGGGAGGCCACCTTCCAGGGACGAGAGATTCATACGAGACGGAAACGCAGAGATTTTAAGGCTCGTGACGAGAGGCAGAGATGAAGAAGAAGACGAAGACGGAGCTCCGACCATCAACAGACCAGAAAGACCTTTTACGATGGAGCACAAACCCGAGGAAAACGAAGGAAAAGTCGACATCATGAGAAGGTTCATCGAAGAGTCCGACACCTCCGAACAGCCAGAGGCGAAAGAGGAGACGGAAAATGAAAATAACGAGCATATAATGAGAAGGGTTATGGAATTTGACGACAAACAGTTGTCAACGGCAGACGTCAGTCGGCTGACGACTATACAGAGGGATTTACTCCTCACCAGATTTCTAGTAGAAGAACACAGAAGGACGAGGAACGCAAATATTGCCGACGACACGCAAAGCCTTCCGGGAGTCGTGGCAATGGCTACCCAAACCGACTCTCACGCCCAGACACAAACAGAACGGGCGTACTTCTCAAAAAGAAAAACGAAAAGCGACAACGACGAGTCGTTCTCTGACTCCGAGGAAAATTGCAGGAGGCGTTTTAAAAGGAACGCGAGATTCAGACTACAAGAAGAAGACACGTTTCAGAACCGCAGTACAGATATTAAAACACCAATAATCGAAGAGGCAGAGCTTCCTTCCGATCTTAAAACCCTCAATTCAAAAACTGGTCAAATATTTACGGAAACTAAAGCGAGTCTGCTGCGCCACGCTGCAACCAAAGTAAGACTGGGAGATGACCACGAATCAGACAGTAACCTTAGCAAACCAAATCACGCTTTGTACAGAATGAGATCGATGAGCGATCAAGACATCAACTTATCTGCCAAGCACAGGGAAAACGTAGTAAGATCCCTTCAGGTAACACCGATGAAACAAATCAGTATAACGAATAATGTGCTCGTCGAACACGTCGTCCACCCAGACTCTCCGACTTCGGAGCAGAAACAAAGCGAAAGTTCGCAGGAAGAGAACGTCAGACATGAAAGAAAATCACGCGTCGCCTCTGTACCCTCTACCCTGACAGTCCGTCCGCCTGTTAAAAGACAGTCCAGTTCTGAACCCAGGACACCGTCGCGACAGTCCTCCAAAGAGACGGTACGGAGGAGCTCGTCTCAAGAAAAGGAAGCCGCGCCTAGGTACATGGAATGGTACAAAAAGAAAAGAGAGATGAGGGAAGAGGAAAAACGTAAACAAAAAAACGGAGTCAAACCCCAACAAAACAGGGCAAAAAACACCCAAAGGAAAAACGTGCAAAAAGCGCCTCCAGTCGTTGAAGTCGACGAGGAGAAAGACCAAGTGTCCCTGATAAAAAACGCCCCTCTCAGACTGGAAGACGTCGAACAAGAGTCGCATTTTTTCACTCTAATGAACGTGGCAAACGAAGTCAACTCGAAAAGCAAAAACGAGGAAGACAGAGATTCGGGGATCGCTGTTCAATATACGATTGGGCCGAACATGACTTCGCTCAGGAATCAACAGGCGTTAGAAAAGAAGAGTATATTCACAATTGCCTACAACGACATGGAAACGAAACAAATCAGAATCGATACCGCGTCCCCTCCTTAATCTAATCTTCCTGTACATAAGATTAAAGAAAAAGTTAATTTTAATATACTTTGTGAGACATTGTGATAGTTATTATTGTTTATATGTGTATATTAACGGCCACTGCCTTAAGATGTAATCTGTCCAAAATTTGACTTTATACAAAAATAAACAAATATATTTTGTTTTTTTAGTTTATAAGCGTTGTGTTTTTATAAGATCAATTATTTTACAACGTTTTGCGAACGTAAAATTCAATTGAATCTTCTTGTTTACAAGAATTTATTTTCTTTCCTGGAAATCGTAGAACCGCCCCTAATTTTACTGTTATTGTGAAATTATTAGGCGAGTTAGAAGGTGTATGCTATTTTTACCAATACAATCCACAACTTTTACAAGATTTTCGCTTCCTCTGCGGGAATTTTTTTAAACTTTAACATGTCGGCAAACATAAATAACAAAAACAAAAACTGTGTTATAATGAAATCACAACAAGAAGTAGCAACACCTTGGTTCACCTCTTGCTGAAGCCTAATTAGCCTTAACTTTATGGCTTGGTAAGGACTATAAGCGGGGTGGGGCAGCTACATCTATCCACGGTCTGGTTCATATAAACTGCTCAAAAATGATTAAGGATATTTTTAATTTATTCTTATTCTATAAATTTTAATTAAATTAACTTATATATTCTTGTTAATTGCATAAAATGACATAGAAAATACAACCCAAAAACAAACAAATCCTCATTTTCAATAACGGATTTACTTAAGAATAGTAAACATGAAGCTTACTCATTTTGTAAACGAACACCTTTCTCGCCTTTTCTCCATTTTAATTGAGTTGTATTCTATTCAGCTATGAAGAAACATCTTGAACCAGAAGTTCGCAATATTATATATAGAATGAGTCATTGAGGTCACTGACAAGTGTATCGCAGAAGCAGTTGGCGTTTCTCAGAGCTTGGTCACCCGGGCTTTAGGATGGTACCGAGAGACTGGAATTGCCAAAAGGAAGCCGGGTAGTGGATCTCAGCGTATTACGACCCAAAGGGAAGACATAAATATAGTAATTGCTGCAAGATGAAACCCTTTCCACAGTGCCCGCTAGATCCTAAATGAAGTAAGTACAAGATGTTTTGGCAAGACTTTTACCAACGAATCGTTTTGGGAAGCCAGGTTTTTCACACGCGCAAGTAAAAATACCAGGTTTTTTGCCCAAAAATCACGAATAACTCGAAAACGGTTGAGAAACCGAGCAAAGTAGAAGGTGACCTATTGAAAGATAGTTAAAATTTCTTACAGGTTGCTATAGGCGTCGCTCCAATACGAATTCTTGGCTCCACAGGTCAATTTGAAATTTTCGTAAAAAAGTGAAACAATCGAAATGTCCAGAATTTTCGAATTTAGTGATGAATGACTGAAGCTAGGTAACCATTTAAACAAGCTTTCTTTTTCAGAGTAAAATTGTCTAAAATGTGAGACTGTGTGCAGGGGTGTGACTTAGAAGGCTGAGAAAATATCAATTTCCAAATTTGGTCATTTTTTAGTACAAAAACTAGGGGGCTGTTTCATAAAGTAACAAGTTACAAGTTGACAGGTGAATTTTTTTATTAGTTGTAAAATTAGTACATACAACTGTTTCATACAGTTACAACCGCATACTTGTAACCACCAGAGAATGCTTACAATTTTACAAGCAAATTTTGACAAGTTACAAATGTTTCTCCGTTGTTTTCTACAAGTTATAAGTGTACGACTGTAAATCACAGCTGAATTTTAACAGGTGTCCGGAGGCCTATAAAAGTGCAGATTGCCATTGTAAATAGTACGAATATTATTATTGTTTTGGCTGTTTATCATAAACAATGTGGGAATTCTTCAGTAGAAGATAATATTTACTTTAGAAATGAACTAAGGGTTCGAAGGGAAAGACTTCTTCGAAGACATTTCAGAACAAGAATAAATTGCTACTTTAATCATATGTATGAATTTAATGAACGATTCAGGATGTCTGCTGAGACCCTTCAACGTCTATTAGAATTAATTGGAGGAAGAATGGAATGCAATTCATACAGAAGCCATGCACTCTCATCAAAATTATAAGTATGCACTGCCTTTCATTGGGCATGTCAGTACCATACTGTAGGAGACGCATGGTGTGCCCAAAGCAAGTGTCTCAAGGCTGAGCGATCATTTGGGACAGCAGTGAATGAGGCATTGTTTCATGTATTTGTCAAGTGAAAACGTTGTGGATGTTGTGAATCGTTTTCACAAGTCGCTCGCATGCCCAGTGTTATAAAATGTATTGATTGAACCTTTATAAATATTGAAAAACGTCATGAATATGAACACCAACTTTGTCGATCGTCATAGAATCATTTGCTAAATTTTATGTTGGTATGTGGTCCTGATTGTAGATTTGATTATGTAAATGCTTCATGGCCAGGCAGTGTTCATTACAGCATGGTTTTAAGAAATAGTAACCTTTCGAGGTAGGCGACTGACGTCTGACTTTTCTGAATTTTTCTGTAAAATTGTAACTTTTTTTATAACTGTAAACTTTTTGCGAGAGAGGTACTTGTACCTGTAGAATTGTAAACTTGTAACTTGTTGTTTTATGAACAGTCCTCGTTGGTCGGTTTTTTAGTAAGGGTAGTTTAAGGGTAGAGTGTGTGCATTATAGCTTTTATTTTTTCTCACCAATTTAAATACCGTTTGACATCTTTGACGTCACCGTGTTATTTCGTATCCATTGAGACGATCACGTGGAACGGCCGAAGGTTGAAGCAAGGTTCACTAGAAGTAAGACCCAGTGACACTTTTGAGGTGATGTAAACATCGAAATCCACTTTTTGCCAATTTTAAATTTTCTTTATCCCAGTGGAGAAATGGTAACTTCTGCAGAACTGCAGGCAGTCGTCCTGGCCGCTGGGAAAGGCTCCAGGATGACAGAGTTGACAGCCAGAAGGCCCAAATGTCTCCTGCCCATTGGCAATCTGCCTATGATTTATTTCCCTTTAGATCTTCTTGAAAGGTCAGGATTTAAAGGTTTGTATTTGATTCACGTTCAGAGTATCCTTAAAACATAAAAAAAAGAAGATATTCATTTTTTAGTTGTTGTTTTATTGAGCAAACTCTTGTTGACTTATAAAACATCATTCTTTGTTTGGTTTGGATTTTATGCTTTATCTAACAATGAATTTGTTATTTATAACTAAAATATAAAAATGGGTTGCCAGGTTAGACCAGTTTTACTTAATTTTCAAATACTCTTACTGTTTGATAATTATAACATAATGGTATCTTGGACGAATATTCACACATGTACATAATCAAACCTATGACGTATCATGGCATGTTGGCAATAGGCCTTTGTACGATTTACAATAAATTTGCTGCAACAATCATGGACTGAGATAAGTAACAACAAACTAAAGGAAATAAAGCTTGCACACAGGAACCCTTTTATATAAAACAGGAAGATACAGTCTCAGCTTGTTACTCCAGCATTGAAAAGTGATTTTGACTTATTACACCCATTCCTGGAGCCAGTGGTATCGTAGAAAACAACAAAACTCATATTCCCAACCTCATATTACAACCGGTTCATGTAAATCTTATAAACTGGGGAAAACATCTACTTATCCTGTATTGATTAATTGGAAATCTTGAGATGCGGTCTGGTGAGACAGGTTTAGAAAAATATTTTCTTTATTATGTTTTGATCTTTATTGAGATCATCTTCTGGGATTTATAAACTTTCTTTAAATTATATAAATATATAACTCAACACGACACGCAAAGATGGCACAATTACACAGAAAACAAACACTTTGAGCCCTGAAGATGATCTCAATGAAAGATCGAAACGTACAACGATAAAGCAAATGTTTTTCTGAAACCTACATCACACCCGACTGCATCTCACGATATCTGAATAATTATCGATTAACGGTCACTAATCTCTACACATATATAAATATATATGTAAAATATGAATATGAATTTATACAATGATGTACACACTACAAAATTTAGGTTTAATCAAAGTATTTCTGTGTAGATGTATCATTGCTTGAGATATTTATTATTTTTTTCTAATAAAAAGTTAATCTTTTGATTTTTATTATTTATTTATTTTATTTAACTCAACTTTCTACTTTAACTCAAAACTTTTTGTACTCACCCACTATTCTAGATGTATGTAAATGATATGACCACATCTTATGATCTCTGCATAATCATTAGTTAATGATCAAATTCCACGCTTTTCTGATATTTTTCGATATGGTAAATCTTTCCCCAGCTTTCAAAAGTGATTTTTACTTATTAGAACAATTAGTGTAACAAACAGTATCATAGATATATTAGATCTTGCTGAAAACACCAAAATTCAAACTCGCAACTTATAAATTAACAAGTACTCATAATCTTAAAAAACAACTGGTGAAAACAACTACCATGTTGACATGTTGACTGAGTGGAGCGGTCATCAGTGGAATATTATGTACCCTGGTGGCCCCGATTTTTATTTTATTTGTACATAGTATAATATGCGCTGAAGAATGAGTGTATTTATTAGTGTGATTGATGATGGATGCAAAGATAATAGGTACAGGAATTGGTGTGAATGAGGGCAGGCCTTTCATCCGAATATTTCATTACCTCGATTGCCTGTTTCTTATGGTATGTATGAGGGGAGTAGTCATCAGTGGAATATCGAGTAACTCAGTGGATGTCATATTCCTAATTGTATATAGTATGGCATGTGAGCACAAATGAGTGTATTTATTAGAGTGTTGTAAGCAGTTATTGATGAGTGAATGAATTTGGTTGGTATATGAAGGGAGCAGATGTATCCAGGCCATTGCAGTCATAAGTGGAAAATGCAGAACTATTAAAAATGTTGTGTGCCGGATATGACTTAGCTGCGGCAAAAAAAAAAGTTTTCTATTTTGTTCGAATTAATTTTTTTCACAGTTTTGAAAGTAATTTCGAGTTATTAAAATAATTCATGAAGTGACCAATGTTATAGATAGGGTAGATATAGTCGAAAACATTAAAATTCTTATTCCCAAATCTCACGACTATTACAAACTGTAGACTCACCCATGTATGTCTGATAGCTAGAGAATCACTTCCTCCTTGTGAAACCTGTAGGGTATTAGTCTCAATAAAACATATAATCAAAGAGTGTCTTAAATATGACAGGGGGTTGGCTTCACGAATATAGACAATCTGCTTGTTTTCTTATGAGCCACTGAATTAAGATCCTCTCTCTCTTTTAAAATTAGCCAGCTGGGTATAGGGCAGATTGGGTTTCTTTTGTGGCAGGAACACCTTTCTGCGAGTCTTGGGTCATTGCAGGACATTGGGTGTGGATGTTGACTCTGGCACACCCCTCAGATAATTGGCATAATAACTAGAAATACAGATACTTTTGAAGTAAAGAGAGATGCGTTCCATCCTCTGGGCTCACTTCCTTGACCATGCTCAGAGGTGCTCAGCCACCATGCCATAAAGTTTATGAAGTTATCAATATTATAGCAGAACATAATCGACAGAGGCTATTACAAAATTTCTAATACAATTAATTGAGCTTAATGTTTGCGTCTGAGCTCTGGTGTCATTACAGTTCAAGCTTGGTATATAAATCAAAACAAAAAATTTAAAATACTTTTTTTAATATTCTTTACGGTTGCCATTAGTTAGTAAAAAGAAAAAAAAATCTGAAAAATTAACATGCCAAAGTGCAGAATTTATATATAAATTGTGAGAATATCATTTGCTTAATTTGCTGCTTTATCATCTCTGATCATCTTACTTTGCCTAGTTTTGCTGATTTTGCCTGTCAGAAGCAGTTCAGCATTTTGCCATTTTCTATTTATTTATTTCAGCAGTTGCTCTGGACCTTGCTACAAGGTGGGAACAGGATTGGAGCTTTTTTATTTTTAATGAGGGTATTTAAGCTATGAGGTTATATGAACCCTTGAGGTGCTGGTGGTTTTGAAAAAAGCCCATTTGTAAGTTGTCGACCATTGAAAGTTGTTTTACACTTCGGTAAATTACCGTCAATTGTGAAGTAGTGAAATGCATCTCAGACAAAATCAGGATTTATGTAAGAACAAGCTACACTTCTCAGGCTAAAACCCAATTTGAAACCAAAATGATATTTTTACTATTAAGAGCTGAGAACCAAGCTGATTAGGTTGCCTTTGTCAAATTATGTTCAAATATCTTATTTAGTTGTTTTTCTGTTAGATGCTATTGTTGTTGTTTTGGAGACCACTAAGGGTGAAATTCAGGCAGCACTGGACAAAACAGGTTTGAAAATTAAATGTGACCTGGTCAGCATACCGGCCGGCGAAGACTGGGGTACTGCAGATTCTCTGCGCTACTTGGAAGAGTCCAATAAAATCAAGGTACTTCCAAATCTTTTATAAAAGTGAATAAAAGTGAAATAACTGTTTGTACAATTTCAGTTGGATGTGCTAGTTATTACTTGTGACCTAATTACAAATGTGAGTCTTGCACCTCTGCTCGACATGTACAGGAAGCAAAACTCTGCTATAACAGCCATGTTCGTAAAAACACAAAATAATACAGTTTTGACGACGCCAGGCCCCAAGACAAAAAACAAAAGAGGTATTAGATCTATGACAAAAGTATTAATGAAACTAGACATTTCAACACTATTGGAGTACTTCCATTTTCTCAGCTTTTTTTTTAAATTTGGGATATATTTCCTATCTCATTGTTACATGTTACCAAATTGAAGGTTGTTGTAATGTACTGCAAATTAAAAAATAAATAAATAAACTTTAGATGTCAAATTAGGTTTATTATCAATATTATCAGGTTAAAATATTAATAGTTGTGCTAAGTTATATTTTTCAATTCTTTAAATCACCTATTAAAACATTCAGACATAGCTTAGATATTTAACAAGGTTATAATTAATTAAAAAATATAAAAAATAATTTTTCTTTAGAAAGAGATTTCGTTGGAATTTATAAAGAAACATCAAGGTTGGTGTTACTTGCATCCTCTTCAGATTATGAAGAAATATTACCACTAAGTACCAATTTACTTAGAAAATATGGCAAGTTTACTATCCACTCGAAGTTACTTGATGCTCATGTTTACATTATCCGCAAATGGCTTTGCCAGTATCTCACTCATAACAGGTACATTTAATTTTATAGATAAGTATATTTAACTATGAATATATATTTTTTATGTATTAATTTCAGGACATTGGGCACTCTCAAGGGTGAAGTTTTGCCTTATGTTGCTAAAAAACGTGTACCTTCAAACAATGATTGTACTTTAAATGCAGCAGAAGAGAAGGCATCTATAATAGGAGCATCTGTCAAAACAGGTAATAAAAAAAAAATTCTCTTGAAATAATTCTACAACTTTTGTGCTGTTAGAATTGGCACAATTTGCCCAAGAAAGTGAACTAGCATACAAAGTGAGGGAAATGTCAAGCTACAATAGCAACACAAGTCAGACTGGCTATGGATGCGATCCTATACAGTGTTATGCTTGTATTTATGATAGTGAAGAAACATATGCTATCAGAGCTAACACTATACATGATTATAATTTAGCAAACAGACAGGTAATAATTTATAAATATATTTTTTGTAGCATGTAGTTGATAAATCGTACTTTTTTTAAAATTATAGATATATGAAAAATGGAATGAATTGGCTACTTGTAAAGAGTTAATATCAGTATCTTCTTCTGCGAATATTAGTTCTTCACAAGTAGGCCCCACATGTTTAATTGGAGATAAAGCGGTGATAGCTGAAAAAACGTCATTGAATTCGACAATAGTTGGGGTTGGATCAACCGTAAATACGAAGACATTAATAAAAGATTCTGTTATTATGGCTGGCGTTACTATAGAACAGGGGTTTGTATATTTTATTGATATGCAATTTTACGACTTGTTTGTAACTGATTTTAAATTATTTGCTTAGTTGTGTCATCGACAACTGCATCATATGTGAACAAGCTTTTGTTGGATCAAATTGTACTCTGAAAGACTGCATTGTAGGAAGCCACCACAAAGTCCAATCAGAAAGTTGGTGCTTTTGATTTTTATATTTTTACAATATGCATTCTACAACCGTTCGTTTTGTTCTAGGTAAACATTCAAATGAAGTTTTAACAGTTGTGGACCGTTTAATGGAATTTTAAATTCTTATTTTTGATATTGTTATTAAAATTTCTGTTCAATTTGTAGTTTTTATTGTGTATAATATTTGGATTATGAGTTTTATTTTATTTATTTATTTATTTTTTTGAGGCTAACGACAAGTCATATCAGTCTCCAACTCACTCTGGGGTTTGATTAGGCAGTAAATTGAACATTTTCAGAATTTCATAATTAATTTAAAAAAAAATAAAAAGATGTTCTTTTTTTAAAGGATTATGCTACAAAAATTAAAAGAAATTTAAATAGAAGTGTGTGTCTAAAAGAAAATACATGAAGAATCACTGGTGAACTAAATAATTCATGAACAATGTGGGATTACTGGTGAACTAAATAGTTCATAATTAATGCAAGATCACTGGTGAGCTAAGCAGTTCATGACCAAATGCAGGCTTACTAGTGAACTAAATAGTTCATGAACAATGTGGGATCACTGGTGAACTAAATAGTCCATGAACAATGCAGGATTACAACTGTACTAAATCGTTCATGAATAATGCAAGATCACTGGTGAGCTAGGATAGGAAAATTGAAGGGGAATATGAGAGGTGGTCATGGGAGATTTAAAAAAAAAAAAAAAAAAAAAAAAAAAAAAAAAAAAAAAAAGGAAGAGAGGTGAGGCGAGAAGAGTTTTTCCTTCACAACAAATTAGTACTGGGGGACAGAGAAATCAGAATTACCCGAAAAATAACGAAGGGAGAGGTTGAGGAGAGGACTCAAAGGGTCAAGGTGCAGAGCCTGTTTTACTCTGGCCAAAACATACCGCCCACCAAAATTTTACAGGGAATTTTCTTAAAGTATTTAAGCAAAAATTAAAACAATCCAATAAGTTATAAACTAAAACAATTAACTTTTGATTAAATTAAGTACAAAACGAAATGAGCTGTAGAGACTAAGAGGAGGTAGGTAGGGGGAAAAGACACTGGATGGGTCGGGAGAAAATTCCACCAGGAGTGACGATTGTCGCAACACGAGTGACACCATCGGCACCAGGATGAACGATTTTATCAATAGGCCAGGACAAGGTGAAGTAAGGAAGTTTTTGAAGAAAATAACCTGGCCCTCTTTAAATTTATGCCCGTGAAGTTGCCATTTTTGCCTTTGTATCAAGGTATTTAGGTGAGAAGACGACCAATTGCGCCAAAAACTAGTTGAGTGGGTTATCTGAAACTGAGAAGAGTTGTTCTTTGAAAGGTATTTTCCTAAGTATAAGTACTTTCGCCTGATGATAGCGTAAGCAGGATGTGACACCAAAGTAACCTTTCTATGAAGACTTCAGAGAGACGTCTTGGAAGAATCAAAAATAGTGGGATAAGCAAACCAAAATGAGCAAAAACGACTAACTGCAGGTCACCCAATAAACCCAAAGAAGAAATCCATCAATAGTTCTATACCACACACACAAACGGTTTTAGTAAGGGCACTTATATTTATTTACTTTGCGGCCTTTGATATGGCGGTCACCACTGAAAGGTAAAGGTCCCTGGTTCCAACCCAGCGGCCGAATCGAACCCGACATACTCACACAATTTATATGACCTCTGCTGTTGGGAACCTCGTGTAAAAAATATTTATTTTCCGTAATATTAACTGTTAACTTAAAACACAAACAGAACATTATTAACTTGTTATTTACATTTATAGTCTGTTACTAATCCTTTTACATTCTTTAGATTAAAAATAAAAGAAAATCAAGTCAATTTACGTTAAAAATATTTCAAATAAACAATAAAATTTGAGTGTCTGGTCTTTGTCTTTAAGTGTATATTATTTTCTAATAATAATGTATTGACGTATGTATGAGCTATGTATGGTGATAGTTATGGAGTGATGCTAGTTTAATGTATGACGCTTGGCTTGAATATGAAAATGTCTATAATTTAAAAATTCAGCTGATAGTAAGAAAAAATTCCTTTTTTTCTTTGTCATTCCGAATAAAAATAATACTCGATATGTTTCATAACAAAAAGTACAAGAACATTTTATCAGATATTTATTCCGTGTCAATCAGTGTACACTTTCCCACTCTGAGAAATAATGTCAAATTTCATGAGACATCTGTAAGCAATATAGCACTATTTGCATTCACAAAAACAAATTTTTTCCAAAAATGTAGTGCACCGCAACGCCCGAAAATTTGTTACACTCCTGCTTCAAGAATCCATTTCGGCAAGTTCACTTCATCACTTAAATAAAGTCAGGAGGCGGAAATGGAGCGTGAGGTAAATTTTATTGACAGTTTCTTCTCATTCTAAGAGCGGTCCGTGTGGGTTGTGCATGCGCCAACTGTGTGCTTGAATTCCTTTCCGAAAAGACACCCAAAAAATAGTCAAAACGAAAATAAAAACGTGTTCTTACTTTTTAACTGGAAATCTTCATTTCAGCGCGTTGAACTGTTTCATTCTGAAAATCCAGTAGAATTTTCTTAACCTGTTTTGTTTTTGTCATTTTTATTGAAAGATCAGCTGAAATTAACGGAATAGGGGGACTTATACTATTTATCGTGCTTACTATTAGAAGAAAAATTATTTTGTACAGAAATTAAAAAATAAGCATACAATTTTTTTTCTATAGCTAATTACAATATTATAAATATGAACTGTAATTTCGAATATTGTTATTATTAAGTCTTTATTTGTTTATAAAATTCATACATGAATACAAAAACAAACAAAAATTCTAAAGACATCTTCTTTGTCAAATGACCGCCAGAGTCGTCATAATTTATTCATAACCCGTTGATAACTTATCAACTTAATATTTTTTATTGTTACTATTATTATAGTTAAACTATAGCATTGGTCAATTATGACTGTTAAACATATCGCACACCCGCAAGAAAAGTGACACAATACAAGAAAATTTTACAGGAGAGGCTGTTGGAAGTTTACTTTTTTTTTACTTATGCATTAAGTACACAGCATTACGGTTGTTGGCAAAAATCCTGTCATGACCCATCAATATTGTCTTTTGTTTATCCAAAGCTTAAGCGAAGGCACAAAACATCAAAAATCCAGATGCACTACCCCTAAAAAACTGCTGCTTTTTGAGTTGTGACACTTTTCTTCCATATATTGGAGTAATTTAGATTAGTTTGCTCCAACGATAATGGTGGTCAATGAATGTAATTAATTTCAACATGATAGTAACATACAACATACAAACCTAACAAACAAGCAAACAACGAAAACATATTCGTACAAATGATTTAACAATTGTTTTTCATAATGTGAAATTAATGTAGGCCCTAAATAGGTCGAAAGCTTGGCAGTAACAAATGAATTTGCTTTCTTCTTGAAGACCATACCTTGATCCAGAGTGTTCGCGAGTGAAAAAGTGGTCAACTTCTAATGTTGAAAACTAAAATAATTCTAAAATTTGAACTACTTTGCTCTTATAATTAAGAGAGAAAAGCAGCATAAGAACTACGAATGCCGTTAGATTCAATTAAGAATATACATTCTTCTTTTTATCGCATAAAAAATAACTGTCGTAATTCTGTATTTACAATATTTCGATTTTCTGTAACATTTTTAAAGCTGAGAATTCATGCTTTCCCAGATTTGTTAGTGAAATCTGAAGAGCCAGAACTATCACCATTATAGATCATACTTTTCTTCTTTTTTCCCGTTATCAAAGTGCAACGAGAAGATCCAATATCCATGACATTTTGCTCTAAAGCCAAGAGGTGGAATTTCAAAAATGACAGACTTCATTACCATTACTGATACCAGTTTCCTTCTTGTTGGTTGTCAACGAATTTAGTATCAGTTTGTCCAAGTGATGTAAAAGTCAAAAGATGTGTCGATTATTGTAACAACAGTAACTTATTCCAGACAGCATAAAATCCTTCACTAAACAAGAAGAATACTTACCTAACTAGAAATGTGCCATTTCTCCTGATAAATACTTACACCGATGCTGTAAAGCTGGACACAGAACTAAGATATGCCACTTTTCGTAAATGGTGACAGTACTTTTCGCCAATTCAAAAGTCATACATGGTGGTGCCTTGCAGCTAAGATCCACTGTAGATGTCATTTATCCGGTAGCATCATAGGGAGTATATCCGAATACTTAAAAAAACAAATACAAAAAAACAAAAAAAAAAACAATAACAATAATCCGGGTTTTAGAATTTTTCGACTTATGTCCCTTTTCTTGTATGAGTGCGATATATGGATTATTATAATGATGTTGTTAGGAGCAGAATAACAAAAAATGTTATGACCCTGCAAACAGAATCCTAATCTGTCAAATTGGACAAGTCAGAATTATACATAAAAAACATAATAAATAAAAAATATCCCGTGCCGCCGACGAATTTGTAATCTCATAGCATTACAATCAACACGTTTAATAAATTGGAATATGTGGCAATTTTACAAAGACGTTTTTATTGTAAAGTTTATTAGTATAATTATTCAGAAATCGTGAGATGCGGTCTGGTGTGACGTAGGTTTCAGAAAAACATTTTCTTTATCGTGCCAACGTTTCGATCTTTATTGAGATCATCTTCAGGGCCTGGGATTTACAAACATTGTTTAAATTTAACAAGTACATGTGAAAAAAAGTGAATTTATTCAATGCAAAAAAATATTGTTTACATTCAATCAAAGTATTTCTACTCACTCAAAGTGATTGTTTTCTGCGTAATTGTGCCATTCTTGCCTGTCGTGTTGAGTGGGCCAGTGAGATATTGCTGTTTTATGTTTATATACGTTGGATTTTGAAGGGGTGGGAAAGTGAAGAAATACTTTGATTGAATTGAAAAAATATTTTTTTGCATTGTATAAATTCACTTTTTCCACATCCTACATGTATTTGTTAAATTTAAACAATGTTTGTAAATCCCAGGCCCTGAAGATGATCTTAATAAAGATCGAAACGTTGGCACGATAAAGAAAATGTTTTTCTGAAACCTACGTCACACCAGACCGCATCTCTCGATTTCCGAATAAACATTAAGTAATATAAGTAATATTTTATTGAATGTGTCCAATGTGTGTGTGTGTGTGTGTTATTGAATGAATCCAGAACATGTCCACATCAAAAAGTTAACTACCCTGCTCACAAACATTGATGAATTTAAGGAAAACCTCAAAATATATTTGTAGAATAGCCTAATTAAGGTACGGTAATTTATTCCAAATTTTAGAATAGAAAATACCTAATTAAAACATTTTTTGCCTCTCCTGTAAAATTTAGTTTTTGGAACATGTCCTCTTTCTGCAATCAGGGATTCAAATGGTCTGGCCGATTGTGAGCCGGGCTTGGGTGATCCATGTGCGATTTAGATTCTGTATCGACCGTGCTTTTGGCATACACGAGTTTTTCAGACGATCCGGGCAACTAAGGCATCTTTACTTAACCTATTCTTGGTTCGTTTTGCGTATTTGGATAGTAACGTTCCGCTATTAAAAATCTCTGTATCGTTTTGTGTTCTTAATAGTTACACAAGTAATTACAAATTTTTTCCTTTTAACATGTCCTACCTTCGAGAACAAATAATCTTTGGCAAAACTTGTCCTAAATTCAGATAGGCAAGGGGTTAAAAATAATGTTAACCATGGTTTATTGTTTAGGTTTAACGAATTACTCCAACATCTACATATTAATGGTCGACTGTTTGAAAAAGATTTGGGATCATTTAAATATGAAGTTCCTATATTTTCAAAAGATAAATTTATAAGTTGTAAGTTCTCAAACTACATTTCGGTAGGATTTCTTTTGAAAAAGACCTATAACGGTTAAAACCTTTTTTTACTCATGAACACTCTGGATCAAGGTATTTATATATTACGCAGGGTGGGCGACCAAGACCGAGGGGTTAAATGCCTGGGTAGACTCGTACCCCATCCCTAAAAGTTCCGGGAGTGGGTCGGCTCACGTGTCCTGCATAACTCTCTTAGACTTGTTCACAAACCCCAAGATTTTTGACCATTTAATCTCGGGGAGTGATTTGGTGATGTCCTCTCCTTCAAAGCTTTCAAATCTAGACCTAGCATACCTATCATCTGCGAGATAGTGCCTTGCCGTTTCTTCTTTTATTTCGCAAAAAGGCAAAAAAGATCTGGTAGAATATGGATCAAAGTATAGTCTTCAAGAAGAAAGCAAATTCGGTTGTTACTGCCAAGTTTTCGACGAATTTTAGGGTCATCAACAAAGCAAAACGATCTTAAATATGTCTACAGATTGATATATTTAAGTTTGTATATGCAATCTCAAATTTATATATATATTTTTTAGGGTTAGCAACAAAAGGGTGCCGGTGTTTTTGAAAAAAAAAACCCATTTGTATGTATGTCGGGTGGGGATGTGGGACCGCTGCATCGAACTCGGGACCTTTACCTTACAGTGAAAAGCGTTGGGTCAACGCCTAAACCGTTGCGGCCACCGACGCCCCATCAATCCCCAATTTCCTTGAGGTCTTTGAACAATCAAGATCATACCATGATCCGGAGTGTTCGTGAGAGAAAAAGTGTTCGATATTTCTAATACTGAAAACATTTTTTATGCAGCCAGTAGAAAATTTCGATGGTGCTCAGATATGCCGAATTTATATAAATTGCTCTGTACGTCCTTAAGCCAGAGCATATTTCATCTGCTAGTCTCACTTAAAAAGATTTTTGGGTACTGTTTATTTGGTATGCTTTGTACTTTCAATAATTCAGGGTTTATATGAATAAAGTATTATTGCCAAATAAAGGAAATAATTGGGTCAACCCAGTTACTGCATAAACATCAAGGTAACAGGGGTGGTAAATCATTAAAGCGATCTAATAATAAAATGAGGCCGGTCTCTTAAATATTGATTTATATAAAAATAATAATCTTTTTATATATCCCAGCTAATTAAAGATAATTTAATTTTGTTTAACATTCTTTGTCATTTGATTGTAAATCTCATAAGAAGATTTCCCTTTATTTTCGTTCATTTTTAATTTAACTCACTTTTATATTTTGAACGCTGGCTTATTTAATATTCCCAGTACAAATACATAAATATGTTTTACATAATTGATTTTAATTGTATGAAGCAAGTCGGTTATATAACGTTTTCAAGATGGTTTTAATAAAATTTTTAATCCGGCGTGTGAATAACGTAAACAATAATTCCGCCCGATTTTTTTAAAAGTTTAACATTAAACGTTGTATTTTACATTTTATTACAACCATTGTCTTTGAACGAATTCGATTGTTTATTATTTAATTTTACGATTGAATTGTCCTGAAAGGAAGTGGAGAAAATCGGCGTACCAACCATAATCCAATTATTAACACATTTTAATTTTAGCATAATCTATTCGTCTACACTAATCAGGCTTTAATGAAAATTTTATCTAGTTCAGGATGTTAGGTTTTTATTTAGCGGGCTATACGAGGTGGTTTGCTGTGAGATGCAAAAAAAGGATTGGGTGATAGTAGTGTGTAAATGGAGTAAAATGCCACAACAACGGGGAAGGTAACTCACTCCATGTAGAAAATTTTTAAAATTTTATTTTTGAAAAAAAAATTCTCTGTTGTTACTTATGCACTTTTCTTCAAAATTGAAGTTTCTTTAATTTACGTTAAATTATCTAAATAATCACCTTTTCATTCTAATTGATAGCTGTTTCGATGATTCTTAAAAATTGAAACATTGACAGATGTATGAAGAATTTTAAACATTTACTACGCGACGAATCTTTCTAGAGGTTGACAGGTTTCACAAAAATTGCTTCATTAAATTTTTTTTTCGAATGTTCGAGTGGTACGCTGGGATCGGTATGTCTTATTTTCGGGAAGTGGCAGATCAAACCCTCCAAAAAACCGTGTGTATTAGTTTACTAAATTCCTAAAAAAAAGAAACAACACTCTTTTTATCTCTCTAATATTATTATCTAAGGTTATTTGAATTCGTTTAAATCACTTTTTATTTTTTAATTTAATCTATAATATTCCGTTTTTATTTAAGGATGATTTTCATTAAATAAAAAACGGAATATTACAGGTTAAAATAAAAAAAAATAAAGATGATTTTTATTTCTTCATAGGGAGAGGAGTTGTCTTTTAGATTATTTGTCCTAATACAAACAAAAGTCGGTTCATGTAAAATTGAATAACACAGATAAAATTTAAAACAAAGATAGACTTGTTTTGGCAAAAAAAAAAAATCTACTACATTTAGGCTCAGGCATTCTATTTCATTAAGTCCTCGAAGTGGACTTCATCACTCCTCACTCAACTTCTATAGGTTTCGTCGTTTCTTTCGATGTAAAATCAAAAGTTAACAATTTTCCCAGATTTTAGGACATACAAATTAGATACTTTTACTGTAATAATTCCTCAAAGATCTTCCTATGCTTAAATTTAACAGATTTGTGTTATCGAAACAGCTATCAGTCGGACTGAAAGGGTTCTGCAGATGACTCATTCTTTAGATAATTTAACGTGTATATTAAAAATAGCGTCTATTTTGATGTTAACGGATGGTTTTTTAGTGAGAAATCTGTTTTACAGAAAAAATTAAAAATCTATCTTTTCGGCAGAGTAAGCTAGAAATAGGTTTTTGCGGCATTATACTCCATTTACAGTGTCCTTCACTTAATTCTTTTTTGTGTTACTGTTAATTACTTCCGGTAGTTACTGTATGTTTTATTAATTATCTTAGCAAATGGTCACATTTTTTAATTCAGTTTGTACGATTGTTGTAATGCCTGAAAACAACAAGAACGATGTAGTTGCTGCTGTAAAATTGACATGGTTTTATAGTCTTTGTCTTGGGTTTTTGATGAAAGTGGACAAAGATTTTTTTTAATTCTATTAAGGTTTTTTATATTGACTAGATTTTTGCATAAAAGTTGCCGGTGGTTGTTTTAATCCGTATTCCAGTTGAAGTTGGTCTGCGCGGATCGTTTCAAACAGACTTCACGATTGATAGATGTCTTGAATTTTACAACACTGATGAGTCATTGCCCTGACATGGTTTTCATTTTGTGTTGTAGGAGGAAACTAGAACTTCCACCCCGTCCAAAATGCGAAGGAAATTGAGTGGACACTGGGGAGGAAACGACAGCATAGAGAAAGTGTATGGACGATCGTTAAGAAAGAGAAAAGACAAAATCCTCGAGTACATACTTGACGGGTATAAACCAGGAAGTGATAAAGTATTCAACGATAGGGGCCAACAGACGGAAATCAGTCTCATGGAAGATACGACCACGATATATAGGAAGGATAGCCCGCCTACGTCTCCTGATGATAACAGCGAGAAACCCATTAGCAAAGGACCGTCGAAAAATTCAAAAAAAGTTTTAAGCGAAATACATCTTAATTATGAAAAAAAAAGGTTGAATTGTAACGTTTTTTATTTACTTAAAAAACGTCGTTTGCAAATCCCGCTTAAAAGTATAAAACGGCAGTCAGTGCGCATCGTGATCGCCCCGCCTTTTATGGAACTGTATTTAGGGCAAGATCAGATTTTTCCGTTCGATTTAAAAAACGTACTCGCCCAAAAGCAAAAATGCCCTTTTGAAGAAATAAGGACGGAAGGGATTCAAAGAATGCCTGATGTGATCACTTTACGACCGGAACACGAATCGAGATATGCCGAATTCCGTCACGATCTTCCACGGACAGGTGTCACGGTCCTCGAAACGGCAGATGACGAAGACATTGTATTCCACGACAGATACGATTACTTACCAATCGGAATTCAAAATAAGCGAACTAAGACGGCGTTTAATTTTAAGAAACTGACTTATGTCGAGCCTACGTACATGAAGTGCCTCCAAAAGAATTTAACAAATATAAATCACCCAGAACGTTTTATAAACGAGTCGGACATTTTGGAAAATACGAAATATTTCACTTATAACAAACCTTCACTAGGCAAACACATAAAATCTTTTATTTCTGGGCTGCAGCCCTCAGAAATTACGAGAATTAAATCTGGAACTTCATTGGTGGATGATGTACAACCCAGGGAAACTTTTAACGTACCTTCCAGCGAAAATATTGAGACCATGCTTTCGTCTAGCAAACCTAGCGTTATTAGCTGCATAAGAACTTATGATTCTTGTGCTTCTCCGAGTACTGCCAGTCGTAATGTTTCACATGATAAACTTTTGGAATCGGATGTTATTGGAGTTCCTTTACAGTCAAACATTTTAACTGGGACCGAACCGGGGGCGAAGAGAAGCCGAAGGTTACAAGCAGAAGGTGCTAGTAGTACCGATAATCAGGAATCTCATAAAAAACACAAATATTTGAAAAGCAGCTTGAAAAGGAGGCTAACCGAAGGTTTTGTAGATTATACGTCCGAAGTTTCAATAACAAAAGGTCTTTTACAAAGTAAAAAACGATTGATGGACAACTTATGGCCTAAGAAAGCTGAAATTAACAGCAGTATAAAAACTGTTGATCTCAGCAAAACCCGCGCAACTCGTGAATCACGTGAAACTATAAAAGATCGTATATTGCTTAATAAGCCCGGCTGCGAGTCTGCTACTACCCTGATTTCTTTTGCCAGCGATATTGATAAGAGCAAATGGCACGACGCGAATGACAGAAAATTATCAAAAGAACAAAAATTATCACGCAGTAAGTCAATTTTGAAACGAGGGAAGAAATCATCTTTACGTCTTGAAGAGTTTGATCGGATTCATAAGGAACGCTTTTATCCCGAGGAGAGTAACCCAAAAAATGTCAAAAATAAAGAAAAAGAACATATATTCGCGAATCTGAGTCTTGAAGATAAATTTAAGCAGGGTGTGAAGAGTAACGAACCACCGACACAATCGAACGTGAGCTCTGCCGACGCGACTAGACAACAGTCAGCAACGCACGAAGGTAAGAATATGTTGGAATTGATGTTCGGAGGGTCACTATTTCGGCACGGAAAAGACGAGAGTCCTGACAAGCGAATGTCAGAAGCTTCTACCAGTAAACCAAAATCTTGGGATAAAGGCAATGAAGCTCTATCCTCAAAAACCGACGATAAAAATTCATCATTAAAACAAGAAGAGTCTTCTTATAGAGAAAACAGCGGAAAATCCGTCGTTTTTGATATTACAAGTAAACCTAACCCGAAAAAATCCGAATTCAAAAAGACTAAAAGTTCTATGAAATCTGTGCTCTCAAGCCAATACGATGGGCTCTTGAGCAGTGACAATTATACCACCGATGGACAATCTGGATCGCAAAGTTGTAGCAACAATGGTCCCGAGTACAAAGTGCTTTTTCCATTGTTCCAAGCAGTTTCATCAACGATTTCTAGTCATGAAAATAACGCTATATCTTCTGGAGCACAACGGGATTATGGCCCTGATGTTGTAGATAAAAATGTACCTGTTCAGAAATCAGATCAGATGTCGTCTAACTTGGATGAAAATAGTGAAAACAAGACATTTACATTACCGCGCGAGTCTATTTCACCAAAACGAAATCGTACATTAAATGAATTACGGAGGCAAAACGAATAGATAATCATATCAAATCAACCAATATCAAATTGGTTGGCAAGATGATATTTCCGACTATGGGTAATGGCACTGCATTGACCTCCGACGTGCAGTCAGTTGTACCGAGATTAATTCAACCCTACCTTTTGTTAATAAATCTAATTTGTTAATCAAGATTAATTAATTATAATTAGCCATGTAAATAATGTATTGTTATCTCATTATCTAGATTTAAAGCTATTTCATGTCCTATTCCATTAATACATTTCTAACTCGTATGTACTCATACATTTTTTTAATGGATAAAGTTTGCTATTAGAAGTTCATCTGCTTACTTAATTGAATGAATGATAGCTTACGTCCGTGACGGTGAAAGAGACTGAAACGAGGCTAACCTCTAAAAAAAAATCTAATAATAACAATGATAATTATTAATCTACAAGAAACATAAATCAACATTTTATTATTTAATTTATATTATTTAGAAATTAGAGTATACTAGAACGAGTTTTTAAGATGAAAATCAACATGTGGCATTAAAAAATTTATGTAGTCTTCAGATCTGAAGTTTCCTATTTTGTAGTAGATGTTTATGTGATATAAATAAATCGATATGAGAATAGACACAATTAAAAAAAATTAATTCTATCCTGCATATGAATTAAACACATTACGAATTGTCCTTAATGGTATAAAATCCCGGACAAAGCAAGAACGGCCAGTACTGCACCAGGAGGAGAAATGCTACAAGAAGCCAGCCAATGCTGGCATTAAATTTGTTATCGGGTTAAGGAAGGAGGTCTCGGGGACATTGTCGTTTGAAGAGAGGTGAAGGTTTCTTGGGACGAGAAGTAGTGGATAGGGCTTGAGCAATAAGGACGGGTTGAAATATTGGAGTGAAACGTGAGGAAGCGGGAACGGATCAGTTCTTTGACGAAGGGAATGTAAAGGTCATTGTGGATAGTGAGGTTGGAGACATAGTAAGGAGTTTGGAGAATTGTTCTGAAGACTTTTGATTGGAATGCTTGGATGGATATTAAATAGCTTAGTTGTACCCCACAGCTTTGCTTCGTATATACAAGGTCTAAGGTCTATAGGTCTAAGAAATATTTTGCACAGAGTAAGTTTGTTCTTTACCGACGCCTGATTTCGGTCCTATAAGTTTTATAGTTGTTCAAATCGTCCATTCATTTCTTGTCGCTTAAGTCTTGTGTAAAGATTCCACTTCAGTCTATTGTTTAAGTATAGCGCTAAGTGTTTTACTTGTGTTGTTGTAAGTAACGATAGTTCGTTACTGTTAATGTACAGACGTGTGCAAGGCTGTTTACCTTGAACGTATTCGGGTGATTTGTTGTCGTTCACTTTCATCTTCCACGTTTTGCACCATTCTTCACTGATGTCAAGATGCTGCTGGATATTGAAGATGGCTTGGGCTTGTGTAGGATTGGAGTTAGGAAAATTGGGGATGAATAGCCCGGTCAGGGATATAAATGGTATATAGGATGGACCAAGAATCCTCCCCTGTGGGACGACAGCCTGGATCGGTGTTGTCTCAAAGGGCTCATTGCCGCAATCTTATATATTTTAGAATTTGATAGTAAGGAGTGGGTAGGAAATACTTTAGTTTGAAATGAACATCTCGGTGTCAGACTCTGTCCAAAACATATAAATTATCCTGCCAGTTTAAATTCAAATAGCTTGGAAGTAAACTGAATGGTCAAAGGGGAAAAACGATGAGGGGCCATTTCTTCTGATTTTGCGGTTTATGCGCTATGTAGGCTCGATTGATGAAACTTATCTACTTAAAAAGGGGAAGATAAAAATTAGAATGTTAATATTGTTAGGTGTGTCCAGAAAACTGGAAACTTGGTTTTTTGATTGCTGTAAAATTGAAACAATTGGACCCTTATCGTTTTTCCTATGAAACCTTCAACTGCCAAACGACTTCAGCTTAAGGTGCGATTAATCAGGCATATTCCTAATTAAATTCGGTTCTTGTTTGCAGGATTACAAACAGAGAAGACTTGGGAAAGAGAAACAGAAAATTTCAAATGCTATGATGACGCAGGAAAACTTTAGGGCACACAGTATGGCTATCCAATCCCCTGAGAAAAGAAATGATGATGGTAGAACGCGAACTTTATACCAAAACGAGCTTTATTCTGGATCGATGGTCTCCCTCAATCCTTCGACTAGTACTGAAAATGAGACCTATACAAAAATTACGATGATGCGCTTTCCAGAATATACGACCTTCAATATTCAGCACTCTCTAAATAGTTGCAAAATAGCCGTTCCCGAAAAAGAACTGGAGGGAAATGAAGTTCACATAGTCTCGGACTATCCGTTTTTAGCTCTGTACGTGGGGGACATTGAGTTTTATCCTTTTGACGCGAGTGGAATATCGATTTCCGAAGAAAAGCTTCCCATAATGAAAAGTGTCTCGAAAACGACACGCAATTCGTTGACGCAAACCCCATCGGTTCAGGAATTAACTCCACGAGGAAATAAGGGGTCGAGGAAAAACAGCACTGTTTCTGTAGCTGCACAGACTAGTGACCTATCACCAGGCCCTTCCAGTACCAATTCAAAACAACGTAAAAAGAGCACTGAGAGTGCTTTAGGAATAAAGCCCGATATAGGCAACTATTATTCGTTGGATCGAAATACTTCTACATCTTACTCCCAATTTGCGATTAATGAGATGGCGTCCGAACCGGTAGGTAAACACAAATTGGTACCAAACACGGATGATTTTACTCTTGGTGACAAACTGTCTCCAGCCCAAAAGATTCACGTTCCGACGAGTAAAACCGACTTAAAAAAAAATAAGCAAGAATGTAATTTTGGACCGATTGTCGAAGCTAATCCTTCACGCGAAATATGCATAGAAAAATGGAATTCTCATACAAATGTTATAGCAAACCAGAAGAAAAGTCATTCTTCAAGTAGAAAACCATTGGCAAATGAAGAGCTGCCGTACCAATATTCGCACTCTCCTCAAAACATGTTCGACCAGCTAAATCTATCAATAAAATCCTTCGACAACCCTACTTTTTTTCCAAATAGATATCGACAGTTATCTTACCAACGTGAAAATCAAAAGCCAACAGATAGTCATTTGGAGTACATCCGGGGAAGCACACACATGATGAAATCGTCGTCTCCTCCTTACGATGTTAATAGCAGCTATATACATGAAGAATTTCCAACATATTCCGATGAAAGCAACAGGATGCGTTATCATAATCAACACGACGAGGTTCTCCAGCATAAACATCATCGACCTTCTCACGATGATAGAAAAAAAAGTGGACATGAAATCGACCAAATTAGTGGTAGCTTCAGTCCAAGAAGCCGCTATTCAAATAAGGATAGCGTTCGATCGTATGGAAAAGTCGCTTTCCAAGACCAAGGAACACAAAACGAAATCAAACCATATCGATCGGAAAATGAATTGCAGAGTAGATACAATTATTTCGAGCCGCGAGAAGCACACCTAACAAAATCGACATCGCCACGTTTATCATCTATGACAGACTTAAAGTTACAAACATCCTTGAACGATATGTCAACACAGACTGATAACCAATCCGAAAAATCCGTGGAAAAGAAAAAGGTTGTGAGAACTCCCGTCTCTACTGTCGAAACATCGACTTCCACTAGTTCTGGAACTAACATCAATAGGACACAACATTTGACACAGCCCGACGCCCCAAAACCCGATATTGAGCCTACGATAAAAGGTCTCCAACACATGAACAGCGTTTTGCTAAGAATTCAAAACGAATTGCGTCCTATCCAAACGGACATGAAACAATTACAGTCGAAGTTGTTACACAGGACCTCCAAGTCTAAACAGGCAGATTTGAACACGGGACAAAAAGTGAGTACAAAATCGAGCCATGACATTGTACACGATCCACCGAAGGTGAATCGTTACGACCTACATGAAATATCTGACTCCTTGTTGAAAGCGAAAACAAAGTTTCCCAGTGGTGCTGAACTTTTGGAGGAGTTATCAAAGCAGATCATAGCCAGGACGCACGACACTCGAGAGAAAATTATCCATTCAGAGCGCAATTTAAAAGAGCCACATGCCTCAAAGAACCCACATAATTACCCGACATAATTTTACACTTTCGCCTAACCGTGTTCGTCCCCAATTTGGTTTTGTCCCAATAAACATATTCACGTCAACGTTTCATTTGCTTTTGCCACCTACTAAAAAATATATTGGTTGATTTGACGATTGAGACAGATTTTATGTTTAGTTTGGCCGATTTTGAGACATGAACCCATATTATTACCCCACATAATTTTACACTTTCGCCTAACCGAGTCCGTTCTCCATTTGGTTCTGTCCCAATTAACATATTTACCTCAACGTTTCATTTTCTTTTGCCACCTTCTAACATATATATTGGTTGATTGGACAATTTAGCCAGATTTTATGTTTAATTTCGTCTATTTTCAGTTATTAAAATTTGATTAAAATATAAAGTTTGATGTTCTATAAGTTCATAATCCACCCCTTACAAATTAAACAAAATTGATCAAATTAGGCGATTAGAAAAGTATTCGAATTTTTATTTAAATGATTAATAACCCACATTATACATACTCGGGGTATCACAGATTCACCTGACATCCTCATTGTTCAGATCATTACCCAGGTCTCCACTAGTACTCAGTACAACATATGTAAACCTTCTTTTCCTCACCTGAGTCATCATCTTAGCAGCCTATGAAGCACGAAACCAAACAACACAAGCAACTTTTTACATCTTCGCAATTCTACTTCTACACATACAACAACTTTAAAAAAAATCGATACCTACTTCTCACAGCTACAAGGTAGTTACAGTTACAAACTTCAATCAGAACCTATGATGACAATATTTTACCTGCTCAACTTAATCAATTTGACTTATGTTATTGAATAGTTGTTAGGCTTAGAAATTCATTGAAGGGAAAGGTATCACAATTAACAGTTGGTATAAACAAAAACAAATACTAATTTTTAGCACAGGTAACTACTTAGTATATTGAGTTTTTTAAATTTGTTGTAAAGAGACATTACTTATTTTATTTTACAAATTTAGAAGCTGTAATAATTAATTATTTACCCCTTAACCATAATACTAGGAATTCTAGAGGACTTCTCCACTATTAGAAAATTTTCAATGAAAGACGACCTGTAATCAAAAACTGATTCTAATTTCTTATCAAAATATAATGGCCTTATATGTAATTAGTGTATCAGTTGCACCTGACAAACTCTAAACTTAAAAAAGCATCAGATTTACGATTTTATTAAATTTTGGCTAACCTCTTGGTAAAGTACCTCACGCATATTTATATACCCTAGTTGCTCACGACCTTGTGTCATTTGAAGAGGACACACGCGATCATAATGATGATGACAAAGAAAACAAGTGATGGCAAAAAAGCGTGTAATAAGCTTTCTTCTGTTGTTTTAGAAAGATTTCATCTACCCAGGGCCTTGGTAAACTGTGCGTTATGGCGGACATCTGGCGTCCCTCCTAGCAGTGTACTAGGTATTTTCTCCATTTTATTTGTACACCAAACCTTTCAATGAATTGAGCGATTCTAAGCAAGAAACTAGCTAAGAAGCTCACTATATTTCGATTGAAGATAGTGAATGATGGAAAAGATTGATGGCATAAATCAATCCGGTCTTTCAATTAACTTATCGACGCAATGAATCAAAAGAATAAATTCTCTTAGTCTGCATCCTTGGTACGTCGTCAGCTCATTAGCTGGATCGCGTCAAATGGGACTCCACATGAAAAACTTCGTTACATCCGGCATCGAATGTTCATGAAACATATCCTTTGCAAAACCCCCCCCCCCATATGTCTATCTCTAGCCATCCTTAACAGTCAGAAGATGCAAGAAAACCCGTGTGATATCTGGTATTCCATGGCACATGATATTGACATTCTTTAATATGTACTAATAACACACAGTCGATCGAGAACTATGTTGGCCTAACATAATCCACACTACACGAAATTGCATTCTCACCTCTTCAGGAGTTAACTAATACTTTTTTTAATGTATACATTGTCAATGTTCCTGTTTTTGTTTTATTTATTATAAGCATACTCTAGAATTGATTGTATTCATTACATAAAGAACGCCACTCGGTTTCCCCACCACTTGTTTGTATATTTTGTTATCATCTCAAAGTATCACATTTTCAAATAATAAAAAAAAGCTAAATTTACATTTGGAAATCACATATGAAATAATAAATGGGAATTTAAACAAATTCAGATGCTAAGCATTTTATTATTTGGGGCCAAACAATTTTAAGTTGTTCAGGTTTTATATTTTTTCGAAATTTTTATTTTCTCGGCGGTTCAATAAAGTTTTTTTTTCTCGAGTTGGAAACCAATGAATGGTTATCTCGGAGGCAGTAAACATGCGACGGTGTACTACAGGCCAATTCAAAAAGGTGAGTACTTGTATACAATTTTTTTTCAATTATGAATTTTGATAGAAAAGATATTTTTTTTAGTTATTACTGTAACAAATCTACATACATCAGTGTACACTTTAATTTTCTATTTGGATAGAAAGGATTTTTAAACAAAATGTGTTAAGCTGAATTTTTTTATTATACCAATTTGAATTTTCTTAAAAAGATCTTCAAACAAAAAGAATCTTAGTTTTACAAGAATAGGCCAATTCAATAAAAATTATGTATTCTAATTTATTAATTTTATAAATATTTCAGCCCAAGGAAAATGCTCGAAATGTATTTTTGCACAAAATTTTTAAAGAGAGATGTTCTTTTGAATATGGCTCATCCCCTCATCCTGGAAGAAAATCGAAATCACAAAGCGGTTGGTCCTATCACAGCATCAAGTACAAACCAAAGAAAAACTTGCCCAAAAGTAACCACAGTGTGTCCGTCGAAGAAGGAGAAAGCGATTTCTACGAAGATGCCTTGGACGAGTTCTACGATCCAGTCAAACACGATGATCCCGTCCCGGCCCAAATCAGGATATCGACAGAGTCTTTAAGGATCAAGGTGCGACAGAACGACGGCATCACGGTAGACGTCAGCGATCCGGTCACCGGTTTTAAAAAGCTGCAATGGACAAAAGACCAGCTTTTGGACAATTATCTTGAGTTTGTGTTCGAACCGAATCCGCAACTGGAGCCGAAGCTGACCGTGTTGTTAGGTAACGTTCCGATTTACGCAGTGAACAAAGCAAAAGGCTACGGAGATTGTAATTTAACCAACACCAAAACAGACGTTGCCGTTCAAACATCGTACGCGTTGCTTGATATCGATCCGATGGAATCGGATATCTGCACCACTCAACAGAATTATAATTCCGCTCTCATCGAGACAACGGGCAAGCAAATATCTTTTGACGAATTGCCGTACGACAAGGAAATTTCTACCTACACAATTAAAGGCTTAAACTTGGATTGCAACTCGGTGGAAAATACTTTTAATTACTTAAATCCGCCTCCAATGAAACTGTCTGGGCAGAGAGAAGCCTCTGAAAATACTGTTTCATATTCTTTCATACAGAATTCTCATCCCAACTTGTTGGCTACGAGGTTGAGGTCAAAGTCTTTTGCCAACTTAGTAAATCGGGTCGGTGATATCGGTTCTCCTCATACCACTTCCTTGGTGTCTTCGCTTCCGTCAGACGACGTACCGTTTTCTTGTAGACAGCCAATCCCTTTTAGGAAATTCAGCACGAAAACGGCCTACCCTCAATCCGTCGACATCACGGTTATTAACGAGTCCATGACGACTTCAAACGACAAACAATACGAAGTCACTCAGAACGGCGACACTATGGACACGCACTCTATGATGTACGTTAACGACGAAAGGTTAAACAATCTGTCTTACGCTTCTGAGCATTATTTAACGGAACTCTTACAAAAAACAATGCGGCCGATTAATTTTACTGACGAAGAAGAGTTAAACCGGATATCGGAAACAAACGCATTCTGTTACATCGAAAATAGCGAGACGTCGACGTCCTGCGAAGATGTCAACACCGATCAAGACGGATTAGAAACGTCTCCCGCAATCGTCGATCTGACCAAGTTTTCTGAAGAAACGGGTGACGACATAGCAATAAACAAATCTGAAATCAAGGAAGAATCTGTTTACCTGTCGCCCAAAACACCGGAAATAAATTTCGAAATAAAACAATTTGGACAGTTAACAGATGTTGCGAAAACTAAATCAAGAGACGCTAGAACGCCAGATGAAATTAATACCGATTTGGATAAAACCTCCGATGTGAGTGAATTAATAAGTCTTGTTATCTTCGAAGGTGAAGTAGAATCGGGTAATGCTCCTGAAGAAAACGTTGGATGTTCAGAGGAGGAGAAATGCAATGAAAACGAATCGGAAAACTACGTTGACGCAATTACAGGGAATGAAAACAAACATGAATCGGTTATTGACGTTCGACCGAGCGAAACGAACCTTATCATAGAAGAAAGCTCGGCTGTTTTGTTCCCAATGTTAGTACCGGTCACCGAAGAAATGAACGAAAATAAAGACATTCTAAGCAGAGAGAATTCAACACAAAAAATTGCAGAAAAGGACAAGAACAATTTAACCAGCGACAGGTCGTGTATTTCGTCTTCAAATTCGACTGTTTCTTTAGAACCGATCATGCAAGTTCTCATTGAGGACAGCATTCATTCTCGATCTCAATCTTCGTCAAAGGACAGTCCTCGGTCTCCTTCTGTGCTAAGCCGATCATCAAACGTCGAAGAGGATTATAACAGGGAGGTCAAATTATCGGCCGGCGACACGGTGGGCGAGGGAGACGAGGCAGATGAAGCAGACGAAGCAGACTCACCAGAACCGGTCGTGCTAATATCTGCACCATGTCAGTCTATAGACTTAGAATTGGAGAAAAGATTAGATGAGATTAACCTCACACCCATGATTGTCAACGATGATATTTACAGAGAGAAGTCCGAATCGAAAGTTCTAGAAACAGACAGACAGTTCACATTTTTGAACAAGCGTTCTTCAAAACCCAAATGCTCCGGAAGCGATTCGGACATCATACAATCGGAAACTGCCAACAGTCAAATAGACAAAATGAGGCCTCAGACTACCGTCAACGCTAGAAATACCGACAGGCCGATGACGTCCGTGTCACAGGCGCTTAAAGGCGTCGAAACCGCCCTCAAGCCGTTGCAGGACCAACTGAAAGAAATCAGGACAAAAATGGCAAGCTTGAACCATCATTTTTACAATCAGTACACAGAAGAGAAACCGAAGGGGTCGAGTTCTATTTTCTCGATCGGAAAGGAAACCGACGTATTGCCGATGAAATATTACGCAGGAAGAAATAGCACGAGAGCCGGACAAGTGAACGGGATGAAATCGATAGATGGCCGATATGAAATAGACAAAAAAACACCAAATTTATCTAGGGCAACGCGATACAAGGCCATCTCAATTTGGTCAGAGCCTGAAGACATAATTGGCGATTCTCCCCTTCCTTCAGTAAATTTGAATTTTCTGGGGACCAAGAAAACAATTTAAAAGCTTCGCTATTAAAAAATAGAAATTGGCGAGAAAAAAATAAATATCTTTTAAATTTGTGCTCACTTATTTGACTTATCAGAAATTTACAGAGGTTTATGTTAAGACTTAAATATCACATGAAGAACTACACCAATTTCAGAAATATTGGGCAAAATTATACTAAAACCAAAACAAGTCCCAAATAATCCACGCTGGAATTTCATTTTAAATTTTAATAAATAAGCCATCAGTTAAAAAAAGAGAAAATGTCACATTCGACAACGTTTGATTACAAGCAGGATGAGGCAAAAATGTGATATTTGAATATCTGGCAATTTTACAAAGACTTTCTTATTGTAAAGTTTATTAGTATAATTATTCAGAAAGCGTGAGATGCGGTCTGGTGTGATGTAGATTTCAGAAAAACATTTTCTTTGTCGTGCGACGTTTCGATCTTTATTGAGATCATCTTCAGGGCCTGGGATTTGCAAACATTGTTTAAATTTAACAAATACATGTAAGATGTGGAAAAACTTACGCAGAAAACAAACACTAAGTGAGTAGAAATACTTTGATTAATATAAAAAAATATATTCACTAATTTCGTTGTCCGCTTGACCATCAATATATTACAATTAATTGAGGTTTTTAGTTGAGATAGAGTTCGAATCCCGCTCGTGCCATTGACATTTTTATCTCAACTAAAAACTTAATTAATTGTAATAAAAAATATATTTTTTTGCATTGTATAAATTCATTTTTTTTTCACATCTCACGATATTTGAATAATTATGGACTAACGGTCACCAATCATTTATTAGTATAACTTTTCTTCAATCTTTTCCTAAAGGAGAGAGCAGTTCGAGTTGTCATCAAATGAAATTTTATGCTGTTAGCATATTTGCTTCATTCAGGTGGTTAATTTATTTCAATAAAAGACTACGGGGAGGATCGTGACATAGTTCAAAAACCACGTTTTGAAATTCGGTGGCTATAGTTTTACTTTGAATGTAATGTTGTAGAATTATAGTATGCATTATTGTAGTATTTATTTTTTTCATCAAGACCTTACATAAAATGAATAATTATATGAAAGAAGTAATTTGGTCAATTAGACCACAAAACATAAATGGATTAATATTTATTTAGTATTATATTTATTTTTAATTTTATAACTATACTTTGAAAATCTAGGTTAGGTCTGTAATTGTAGGAGACTGCCGCAAAAAGATAAAATTTTGTAAAAAATTCCCTGTTATTTTTCATAAAAATAGAGATAGTTTTTAAAATACAAGTTAAATTAGAAGGAATGAATCATATTCTGAACCTTTCAGACTGATAGCCGTTTTCGCTGACACAATATTATAAAATTTAAATTTTGGAAGATATTTGAAAAGTATCAAAAATTCACTGTCGTGACGAAATTTAATTCATAATTCACGGAACTGGTTTTATTTAATCAAAAGCAATATTTTTACAATGTTTATCTTTTGAATTCAGATTCCCCTTTCGAAACAATTGTGCCATTATTTCGAGTTTTTCTATATATTTTCCTTAGCTTAAAAACTTGATTTCCCATGATTCACTTTTTTAGGGGGCGGGGGCGGGATTAATATACCACACTTCTAAAAAAAGATCCAATCTCTAAGATTACAACGTGAAACGGTGAAATTTTGAAATTCTCCAAAGATATTACAATATTTAAATTTTATAGCTTTGTGCCACAAAAACGTATGAATTGTACTAAATGGGTTCATACACATTCTTTAGACAGGGATTCTCCCAAGAATGTATTGCGCTTAAAAGGAGAAAAAGAAATTTAGACCGGCTAGAAATACAATAAATTCACCACTATACAATTTTACCCACATAATTCTAAACCCAATAAATAAAATATCTACTGTACAGGCTATTATACAACAAATTGAAAAGAATTAAAAATTTGTTATAACAAATAGTAATAGAAATATATTTTAGTGAGCATAAATATTGAATCCATGTTTCAATATTTGCTATTCTGCAATACTTATCAATGAAGTGATAAAGAAAGAGTATGAAAGGTAAATGGGATATTTTAAAAAAGCTCACAACCCTACAAAGCCAAATATTTTTTGAGATTCTGAAAAACGTACAACGACATACTATGTATTTAATGATGTAGTATACAAACAAAAATCTCGCTCCCAAAAAAAAAACCAAAAAAAAACCCAATATTTGATAAAAGAAACTAGTGAACACCACAAAAATTAGAGTTCAATTTCTCAAAATATATGTAGACGACACAATTACTATTGTACATAAAGAAGATGCAGACTTACTATTAAATGACTTTAACAAATTACGTACAAACATAAAACGCAGAAAATAAACTCACAATTTACCTTTACAAAAAACCAATGAGTTCTGAACAAGTATTACATTATTTCTTTATGCACTCTATAGCACAAATGGTTAATATTAAAAACATGGTAGGAAAAATGTATGATTTTATATAAATAATCTTGTAGAAAGAATAATAAGAATACAAGGAATTTTTAACAACAGGAGAAAAATAAAAATAAAAGATTGAACAGGACGAAGTAACTCACTATGCAGGATGAAATCATATAAATGGCCTCACTGGCAAAATAATAAAAATTTAGAAAAAAGAAGAAATGTTGAAAGCTTGTACATTTTATTCATTCATTAGTGAAAAGGGATATAATATATTTCCTCCCATAAAATATCCTACAGAAAATATAAAAACTAGCAAAAAGTTTTTATATTGAAATGCACCCATAAAAAAACATACGTAGGGAAAAATTTTTATACGAAAGGTTAAACTATAACAAACAAGTTGTAAAAACAAAATAATACAGGTTGAAGCCATTGTATCAGAAATACAGGACATGGCATAAATTTTGAAGGTGTAAAAATACTAGAGAGAGAAAACATTACAGTAAAATTATTAGAGTTGAAAAACATTTATATTGTTGTAGATAACAATAATACCAGCATACAGCAAAATAAAAACCAAATTTGTCACAATATAGAAACATATTACGAATGTATAAAACTAATTTTAAAAACAACAATGAGTATGACATATATTCATGTAAATAAAACAATACAATGTATATAATAATGAGCAAACATAACCTATAATAGTGTGTAATAATAAAAACTTGTTAGTAAGGGGATAATGGAAGCCGATCGATATCGTCAAAATAAAAATTTTAGAAGAAGAAAAACCTACTTCATTGTTAAGACATGTTTTAAAATTGAACTTGGACCTATATAGAATAAATTGTAATGGTTTTCAGTACAATTGTATTTGGTCCCACCAGCAGGATTTTCCTCTTTACACCTCTTGAGTAGTGGATTTGTGACCCCGCTTATATCCTTTTTCATGGCAACGACCAAACTACATTTTCACCCCGCAGACTCCCCGAAAAAAATCTTATTTCATAAAAAATAATTTAACATAAAGTTACTGTATATATCTTACAAATACAGTTTTTTTGCACTGGTCTTGTTATCTGGCTCACGTCTGTCGCCGCGGCGGTCATTTACGCCATATCATTCATCATAATGAATATGCTCTTTCTTCGTATCTCTTCCGGCAGGACATATTTCTCATCTTCTAGATGGCTGGCAGATTTTTTACTCACAAAAATTTTACTAACGCGTTTGAAACATGGCAATAATTAAGAAGAGATATATCTTTGTAGTTTTAGTGTTCTAAGCCTTGTCTTGTCTAAACTTCTTTGACAGAATTCTCCATTTATTTTTGTTGGATGTCTAACTTTAATTAGAAATTGTTTCAACACAGGGTGTCCTTTTTATATGGCTGGGTGAATTTCTCTTGAACCAATGACGTTATAAAAAAAGTATTGAATATTTTTTAGTCTAATTTCAAATTTTTATCTTATTGTGGAGAAAAATTATGCAGGGTACTTCAGGCACAGTTCAACTTCTAAATTTTAAAACGACCCAATACAACATGACAAACACTTTTAATGGATTTTTTATGCTGAAAACAATGATGCAATCGGATTTTAAATTGGTCAAAAAATGACAAAATTACGGCAAAAAGAAACCGGCAGCGTAATTTCGACGAGGAGGTGAATATTTCACTGTAAGTTCGCAAAAATCCGAATTCTTCTTTCTGCAATGTTGGAAGGGTTTTAAGTTTTACAAAAAATAAATTTTGAGATGTACTCCGTACTTACAATTTTAAGTCTTATCACTCTCATCTTGTCCAGGGACTTGGGGACTCTGATTATGCCAGGCCTGTAACGTTTTTAAATTGGACAAAAAATGACAAAGTATGGCAAAAATTAAAAAAAAAGAGCATTGCATAAAGATGAAAAGATTCGCTCTTTTTATCCATTCTTCACCGGTGCGCACAGCCATAGAGTCAAGAGAGATGTCTTAAAAAGCATTTTCTATCCTTTTCCGCAGTTCTTCAACTGAGATTGCTGGGTTATGATTGGCGTGGACACTGTTTTTTAAATGGCCTCTCAGAAAATAGTCAAGGGGAGTTAAATCGGGGTCCAACAGGGTCAAGGGGGCCAACAGATCCGGCCATGATTATTTTAAAATAATCCACATTTTCAGTTTATTTTATTCATCAAGTAACAGGGTAAAATCACTGAGAAGTTCGTAATTTTCCTCGTATCAAAATTAATTAAAATTTTAATTACACGGAATAAATGGTAATTCTATTAAATTATAACTTACTGTAAACAACGATAGCAGTCCGAGAATAAAGAGAAAATGGGACCCCATTAGGAAATTTCACAGATCGCGTGAGCAGTTTGGCCTCAGTTGAACTAAAATGAAACCCCAAATATCAAAACCGCATTCATTACGTTTCAGCTTTTTGCCGATCACTTTCAGAACATTTCTTCAAAGAAATAAACCAACTGCCGTCAATTTTAGACGATTTTCGACGCCATTGTACATTATTCAGAAATTGTACCTTTTTTCAAAAAATAACTTTAATCCGTTTAATGTCATGATTATTGGCGTGCCTTTTATTGAAACTACCGTAGT